AACCACGTGCTTTCTCCCCCCGACCCCTGTAACACCTGGAGCTGTGTCCAACTCAGGGAGGCATCGAAGGCCCCTAGTGGACCATCTGAGGCATCCAGGAGCTGACCAGCAGGCCTGTGAGGAATGGGATGAGCCACTGGCCATGACGCTGGTCCCACAGGCCGAGAGGGGCCCCCTGGCCTGAGCCCTGGGCGAGAGCCTCTGTGGCAGGCGAGGTTTCATGCGTCTTTGTCACCCCTTGTCTTCCCTTTCCTCCAGGAAACATGGTGGAATGGTGCCTACCTCATGATGTCGACCTCGAAGGGGTGGAGTTCAAGTCCATGGCTAGCGGCTCTCATAAGATCCAGTCCGACTTCATGTGAGTGTGCTGTCTCCCTTCCTAGGCATGCGGGCTCTGACAGCACAGCACAGGGGTGGCACTCAATGTTCCCTTCAGCATCTCCAGCTGCTTTGAGGACCCCAGCTCCCAGCTCCCAACAACTCCGACCGTGGGGAGTGTTTGCGCGCCTTCCAAGAGAGGACATGGCCTTGAGAAGCCCTTCCACTTAAGGAAAGGGTGGCGTTTTAACTCAGCTGGGTTAGCTGAAGAAATTGCTTAAGTGTTGAAGTGCTTCAGTTTGAAATCCCAGTCTTTAGGAGACCAGGGTACCATTCTGTTTAGGGCCGGCGGGGAAATTTTCATGAGATGCAGAAGGGAAAACATGCCAGGGGGACACGGTGGCTTTAATCTCATTGCCAGGTAGAAGCCACGGCTGCCATACGCAGTGGAAGGGGAGGGATCTGAGGCAGGAACTCTGATCATCAGTCCTCTCGAATAACCCAGGCTCAGGATGGCCCAGGGGAAACCCGCAGCGCTTGTGCTATTGAAAGGGGCTACTTGTAGACTGGTCTTTGCCGGCTGGCTGCAAGAGAGAAGGGATGGCCTACGGTGGCAGAACTACCAATGACCAAGTCCTGGCCCCCAAGGGATGGCCTGGGTGAATCTGCGGTCTCAGGCCTTGCCTGTCTCATTGCTGACAGCACTGGAAGAGTGCAGGGTGTGGGGGTTGCAGACCACACCGGTGTGTTAATCCAGGTTGACTAGAGAAACAAATGCATCGATACTCATATGTGTATAAAGAAGAGCTTTGTATAAAAGAGCAATTGAAGATCAAGAAAACATCCCAGCCCAGTCCAGATAAAGTCCAGAAGTCCAATATTAGCCCATATGTCCAAGACCAATCGATAAATTCCTCTTCAGACTCATGCAACACATACGCTGAATGCAGGAAGATCACAGGCCAGTGGGTGGAAAGTCCTGTGGATACAGTGGAAGTGGAAGTATCTCAGCGCTGGCAGGGGTCTATGCATGGCTCCTCCAGCTCCTGGGCTCTAGCATAGCTCTATGTATCTTGTCAGCAGCAAGATGAAGCAGAGGGCCTGTGTGTACCCCCTCCGGTGAGCTATTTACCGTATATACTTGAGTATAAGCCGACCCAAATATCAGCCGAGGCACCTCATTTTACCACAAAAACTACATTAATAATGTGCTGAAAAACTCGGCTTATACACGGGTACATACGGTATCTCCTTGGTGCCTGCAAATGAGGTCATCAAGCTGTGACCTGATTGACAGGATAGACTCCACCCCTTCACACGTTCACGTCAGATTCTTTAACTACCACACCAGGTGACATCGTCAGACAAGGGGTAGCAAAAGGGCCATTGGTCTGGATGAACAATCTGGAGGAGAAAACAATGGGACCGACAGTTCTAGAGGGACATGGGAGAAAGGGAGGTGGGGGGAAAGGAAGTGGTGTTAATAAACCCAGGGACAAGGGAACAACAAGTGATCCAAATTGGTGGTGAGG